CAATATGGACCAAACTCTCTGAGGAATGCTTCCAGCACCTTGTTGAATCTATGCCACCAAGAATTGAGGCAGTTCTGAAGGCCAAAGGGGGTCCAACCCGTTACTAGCATGGGGTACCTAATAAAGTGGCCGGGGAGTGTATATATATATACACACATATATGTATATATATATATATATATATATATATATATATATATATATATATATATATATATATATATATATATATATATACATACATATACATATATGCAAATACATATACATATAACTGGCCAGGGAAGATGATGGAATAACCTGGGCAGGGCCAGCATCTGAAGGCAGAATATGAAAAACAATGCAGCTTATAACAACAGGAACATAAAAGCTATGTGGAACAACACTAGGGCTGTCAAAAATATTGATACTCAAATGCTTAAACTGGATAAAATACTAATTTGACATATGGTATCGATACTAATTATGGGTGTTTGCATGTTTTTGCTGTTGGTATTTTTAGATTTCTAGATTGTTGCACATAAAAACAACCTAAAAATATTGTGAAATTGCGTTATATTTTTGTTTGTACTCTTATTTGACTAACCTCATCTCTGATTGTTGAGATTGAAAAAGGTTTGCCTTTCACATTTATTCCTTTAGTCATTAGCCATTTTTTGCAAAGTATCAAATTGGGGTGTGGGGGCAGAAAAAAAAGAAGAAAAAAAATCAGATTTGGTGATATATCATGTTTTTCGGCTGCTGATATAATATCGATCTTTTAGTTCCTAGTATTGATTTTGAAATAAATTAATAAAAAAAAAATATATATATATATATTATTATTATTTTTTTTTTTTTTTTTGCCCAAAACAATGAGGGAACATGGGCTACCTTTGCACCACCACTCTGGTAGATGAGGCTGTGGACCCCTTTTGCTGTGCAGCGGAGCGCCATATCTGTAGTTGAGGCAGTCACAGTGGAAGACATGGGCTGACTCAAACCTCAAACATGATGGATAAAAAAAAACTAAACGATCAATATCTTTTTCTGAATGTATTCAGCACTTGCTTTTATAATTATGCATTTAATTTTGATAGCTGGGAAAAACATTGCATTATATAGTTATTTGCAATATGGTGATAATACCGTATTGTTACCCAAGTATTAAAAATGATATCTGGTAGCCAATACTTTCCTGGGTATCACAGTCAAATTGAGTTTGAAAGATTAGTATTGTGACGACCCTAAACACCAGTTTATACAACATTTCATACCCTTTGCATTTCTGCATGTTTTAAAACAGCAACTCTAACCTTTCTCTTAATATTGTCAAATCCTGACCTTTTTAAACAGACCAACCATTTTTTGTCAATTCTTTACAAAGATACTCAGCAAGTCAGATTTGACATAACCTTCAGACTTTAACTTTTAAAAGCTATCATCTTTTTTTATCCACTTTACATTCAGAAACCACCTCCTGTATGTTTCTTAGATAAAATCACAAAACATTCCATTAAAATTATCATATTGGGTTTTTTGCGGCCACATTCTGAAAATGCCATCGCCTGAACTGTACCTGGGCTGCTATGCAAATGTGTCACGGAAGTTCAGCCGACTAACATTTGATAAGACGCTTTCTGACGGAACATGATGCAAAGTGAGGGATGCAAAAAAAAAAAAAAAACACAACACCTCAGGTAATTTAGGATCATTGGTTCACTTATGCAGCCTCAAGTCAGAGGAAACAAGTCTGAGGGATTAAGTACAGCAGGCAGAAACAGATGCTGGTGATCTGCAGAAACTAAATTGCTTAAAGAGGAATTTCTCTCTGCTGACACTGAGTGGGTCTGGTTGCTTAACAACCTGAAGTTGATTTTTGATAAGGATGATTTTCTTTCTTAAATTAAAGTCATTTTGTCGTCTCGTGTGGCTGCTCCATCTTTCACAGGTTTTATGTGCCGTATCCATGGCGATGCCATGCTCTTGCATCCTCTCCATCAGCGTCCTGGAGGACTCTGCTGAGTGTGGAGTTTTTGTTGTCCACGTCTACTGCGGCGAGCCTCTGCTGCTGCAGTTCTGGAGCACCAAGGCCATGTTCTCTAACGGCCAGGTGGAGCAAATGGGTGCGAGCTACAAGACGCCGACGCAGATGGATTTTCTGCTGCAAGTCGTGCGCCGTGTACCCAACCTTCCCAACAGCCACTACTGGGGGCCGTTCGTTTTGGAGCTGTGCCTAGATGCCCTGCATTTCCGCTTCCAGCTCCCAGCTCAGGTTAAATGTGGTGTTGATGTACAACGCGTCATGAAACAATACGGTAAACTAACACTGCTGCGAAGAGACGCTTAATCTGAGGAGATCCTAACAACATTTTAGAACAATCATTTAGTTTGGGACTTGTTGATACCTTCAGCTTGGAAAATCGGCCAGTGTTATACACATCTATCCATTTTTTATTTATTTCTATAGTTAAAGAAATTGCTTAAGATGCACAAGAGCCAACACAATGGTATTTCCAACTGAAAATGCAATTCTTTCTATCCTTTCATCTTAAGGGGGTCTCTCATTATGACTTTTCATTTTTTTTATCTCATTAAGTTAACATAAATGATGCATAGCTTAGTATTAACACACGATCATGGAAATTCCTCTAAAACATGCATTTAGCTGACAGAGCAATCCATTTAGAACAGTAATTATACTAAAATTGTATTTAAAAAAATATACAAATATTTTTCATTTAAGACAAAAAAAATCTTTATATGTCAAAATGCCCTATCCAGAACTCAAGTTTCTATGGTTTACCAGGTTTAATTCTGTAAAAACTCTTATTTTAAGTAACCTTTTACTATCAGATTATTAATTCGATGAATCGAAAGAAATTAGCAAAGATTAAACGAATAGAAAAATAATAGTTTGTTGCAGCCCCAAACTAAATCTTAAATGATTTAAATAAAATATTTTTAATAGCAAATGTTTGAGAGCAGACTTTTTTAGGATGTTGAAATAGGTTCTTTTTTTATTTCAACATCAAAAGAAACATTTCTGCCAATCATTGAAGCTATTAATGATACCAATAATGATTTACTCAGAGTTGCATTCATATGGAAATTATTGGCTATACAGAGTAAAGCTATGTAAAAACATAGTGATGTTAAAAACCTGGAAATATTACTCTAATTTGTGCTTTATTGATTTAATGTGTTGTGTTTAAAGTTTACATTTTATACATTTGAGCATCCAATTTTCCGGAGGGGGGGGGGGGGGGGGGGGGGGGGATATATTCCAACTATATCATAAGTATAGTAAGCAAATCTATTACAAATTAAACAAAGGTTCATATGAATGTGTCGAGCTTGAAAGGCAGATTTTTAAACCAAAATATATTTTAAAATATGATGCATTTTCATCCTTTTTTGAAGAATTCCTGCTCCTTTAGAGATCCAGGCACGTTTTTTTAAAATGCTTTTCAGATTAGATTTCAATTTTAGGCTTTAAATTTGTGGAGTTTTTAAAAGTAAACCATGAGATTTGGTAAATAGTTTGCCAGAAGTCAGGCTTTGAAAAATGAAACCATAAAATAACAAACCGAGAGTATCGAGGGAGACTGCAAGTGAACAATCTGCAGGGACCATTTCAGGTTTGGTCTTTCACATACACTTAGCTGTCCCCTAAACACACTTTAAAATGTTGGATTACTGTCAGAGTTTGTGAAAACAACCTTTTAACTCCTGTCAGTGGTGTCTTCATTATATATCTCCATATAATCAGTTAATATGCTTAAAGTATGGAATGTGCCTGAATGTTAAATATGTCAAAGTTTTTCTCTGACTGATTGTATTGATTTAGAAATTAGAAAAGCTATTAAAATTGTTTATAATGTATAGGTTCTTATATAAAAACTGACTCTGGAATGTGTTGCACTATGATATGTAAAGATGTTTCATAAAACAAATAAATGTGTGAAAGCTGGATGTCATTGCTGATTTCTCTTATCAGCCACGTAGAGAAACACAGCCTATAGTTTCCATCCCTACCTGTTAGATCTTTCCAGACGACCAACCTAAATATCAATCCTGTAGCGTTTCCATTTCATGCTCTAATGTTCGTAAACTTTCCACAAGTTTATTTTCCCCTAATGCCTCAACCTGCTCAACATGACTCAGCAACTATTTCAAGTAAGTATGTTTATTTTTTTTTAAATCAGTTTGGACTCCAGTGTTATCGAAACTGAAAAGCCATTCAAAGATTGTAGCCTGACACCAATTCCTTCAAACACAGAACGACCTTCGGGTTAAACAGCAGCTGCATGCTGAGATTCCCTGTAGGCTAAGCCGAGAAACGGGACACGCCGAGAAACCCGTTTCATGTCTGGTTCACTGAAAGACGATGGGGGGAAAAAAGCCCCTGGAGCAGAGAAAGGTCTTCAATCCCTTTAATAAAGAGGCAGCTTTTCATTCCTTTATCCACTGCATATCACTGATTATTCTGGATGGATGGATGGATGGATGGATGGATGGATGGATGAATGGATGGATGGATGGATGGATGGATGGATGGATGGATGGATGGATGGATGGATGGATGGATGGATGGATGGATGGATGGATGGATGGATGGATGGACAGACTTCATAGGAAGCCTGTCTGAGAGGCATCTAAGCATTCAGTTCAGACTCTGTTGTTGCTACAGTGAAAGTTCAGTTCTCAGCTTTGTTTAACTGTACAGAGAGAACAAGCTCTATATGGCTTTCTTTTTCTGAAACTGTGGTCTCCAACGCCCACTCAGAACAGGCCAAGTACCGAGGCCTGCTATGCACGTCCGCCCAGAGACAAACCACAGCGACATCCCTGGCCTGACCGCATGGCTATAATAGAGGGCAGAGCCCGGGCTGGTTTATGATGAGCCGGGCACACCATAAGTCATTGCGGTGAGGAAAATGATAGAACAACAGCAGGAAAGAAAAGCAAAAGACAAGAGAGAACGTGTTACACAAAGAGCAGAGCAACAAGATACCCACCATCGTAAGTAAAATGAGATCCATCCTTGAAGACCACGACTGCCGGCAGCTCTGACAAAGACACAGACTGATGGAAAAATAGAGAAGCCCAGATTAGATCTTTTTTTTTTATCCAAGATCTCCTGAACATTATTATACTCCATTTTCGAGGTCAATTTAACACTATAAAGCAAAGATTATAATTGTTTTCAAAAGCTCACAAAAGAAACACTGTAAAAAACCCAATGCATGCTTTAAAACTGATCACTTATAGGTTACCTTTAAAGGGACAGTTTATAGTTTCTTTAGTGAGGATTCACTGTAAAACCGAAATAGGTAAAGGTTCTGGCAGAAATATATGTATATATTCCTAGAGATTTCTCATTTTGTTAGGTAGTAACCACGCGTTCCAATGCCTTTAATGTGGAGTTTTCTATTGTAAACAAACAGCAGTCGGTGCATTATGACTGCCTCCGGTTGTTATTCTGCAAAGGCTAAAAATAATAAGATTCATCTGACCTACCAAAGGGAAATAAACCCAAATATTCTTCAAAGCATTCAGGCTCTTATTTATAAAGAATATGTCCAATAGATGATGGTTACAGTTTAGAAATAATTTATTTAAAAGATGATGTTGCTTTTTTATATATACGGTGCAAATATTCAGTAATAAAAGATACTTGAATCATTGTGAAGTTGATTTGGCCTTTTCCACCAACCAAGTTTAAACAGCTGATCCTGAATGCAGCATGTATAGCTGTAGGAAACATAACCGATCATCAACAATCGGCTCAAACGCTGTATTTAGGCTCACTTGATGCTCATCAGCTCATTTTTCCACGATATCTGTGATGATTTCAGATCAATGTCTTCTTTTTCAGGTGAGCTCTGCTTAGGGCTAGCTCTGCTCAATTTGGTTATAGGGAGGAGTCATCTGTTTTTTTTGTTATTGTCATCTTTACAGGAATGTTTATTTCTCGTCTAGCTCCACTTGTAAATAATCTCCATGTGTTCAGGTATAAAACCAAACTGAATTCATTCAGCTGTGTACCAATCTAAAAGGCCTTTATCAGATATTCTCTCAACAACATGTCACCCGTTAGAGAAAAATATAGAAAATATCTAATTATTTCATCCTAATTAATAACTATGCACTACCTATTATTGTCTGATCGCATTCAAAACTAATAAAATACTCTATAGATATGTTGTGACAACATAAGAAAAGATTCAATAGGTAAGGGCCTTGTCACACCTTGACGATTTAGATCAGCGTGTGCCTGTTGGATAAGTGTGGGTATGCTGGAGCACGCCGACATACGGCAAGTACGTTGAGACGTATGACAGCGTATGCCATACGTGGGCCCTAAGTTACAGGTACAATAGTGTATTGGCAGTGTTTTGGTATAAAATGGGGTTCACAGGAGGAAACCATCAGTACTCCTCCAGACTTCATCCACATCATAGGGTGATTTTGGGCGGGCGGTAAACAGCAGCTAGGTTAATACCACAATCAAAGACATCTTTTTATGCAGACCGGCTTGCAAAATGATGCTTGCATCATTTCATGAGCATTACTATGCCGTGCATTATGCATAAGTTAGGCTGTCGTTGGACATAAGTTCTGGAATGATTATGGATACTTTATGTGTATGCTCAAAATTGAAAAAATACATAAAAGTTCAGCGTATGCCAGTATTTTAGGAGATTCTGGGATGTCTGACATACCCTGGCTAAATCGGCATGGTGTGAAAGGACCCCAAGAACCCTTTTAAAAAGATCTGTATAAGATATACGGTAAGTTTGCCAAGAATTAATAGATAATGGAGATGCAATGCACTGCATTGAACTGGGAAAAAAAAGATTTACCTCTGGCAAAGCTTCCTCTGAAGCCGAGAAGAAGTAAGTATAGACAATAAGTTCAGCAGCGACATCGTTGTACTTCTCCTGCAAACAGGTAGAAAGAAATGAGCTTTCCACTTGTTTATCTCACCGCCTTTCATTGTTTTTAGTTGCTATAAAAAGTGCAGCATAGGTGTGATTTTAATTTATTCAATCTATTTTTTTTACAGCACTGTCTGTTCTGAGAAAGCTTGGAACAAAAACCAAGTCTCATTTCATGGGTGGTGCTTACTTTAAGAAGAGAGTCTGCGCCGACGTACACAAAAAGAACGTTGTGCCGCTTAAACATGTGCTCAAACATCTGCTTGCTGGGAAGAGCCCGAACGGCTGGTCTGAAGGAAGAAAAACCCACACAGAATCATTCATTCTGATAGCTATTTAAATCAAATGAAGGCAGGGAAAACAAGCCCTTCCAGTAAAGTCGGGTTGTTGATTTCTATACTGATGGCACCACCTAGTGGAGGTTTACTACAAAAGAAAAAAAAAAACTGCTACCCCGCTCTAGTTGGGGCCAAGCTTTTGATCATCCCCTCTGTCATGGATTGAGCTTGATTTCCCCTGAAGGAGGAGAAAATCTGTCATCCTCGCTTTGTGCAGTGGCTTAAAGTGGAGCACCAGAGGCAGAAATCCACTGAGCTACTAAACAAGTGTGTTCTGTGTTGATAAGCAGCCTTGGACAGCTTTCAATGGAGCAGCATGTGGCACGTTGGAAATAAAAAGGAAGTTCTGCTAAGTTCTTAGCTTCATGTCACATTGTTTTTGGTCCAACACTCACCCCGCCACCCTGTTGGCAAACTCCACAATATCGTCTTTTGTTCTGGGTCCCTTGTAGCTGTAGGCAAGGTCGCCCTTTAACCTAGACAACACAGACATAAACCGTCACTTGCTGCTTTTACATTATTTATCAACTTGTTATGGTTAATAATAAAAATACTGATCTAATCTAAAGTAATACGTTTACATATAGATCCAGATAAAGCAGCATCAATTGTTATCTAAACCATTCCAGGTTCAACCTCTCAGATTTGTGATCCTATAAAAATAATAAAAGATTTAGATTTGTATTGCAGGCATTTCCACTCCAGGAAGTTTCTACATTTGATACCTGAGGGGAAAAAATAAACTAGAAGGAAACAATGAGAAATAAAAGCACACAGAGAGGGGTGGAAGAGAGGAAGAAAAAAAAAGACACCATGGGGGTAGGACAAAAGGAAGGGAAGATTGAAGGACACAAGGACGTGAAAGAAATTACACAAGAGGGAAATAAAAATGCAAGGTAGACAATAAGTTGATACACTGTGTCATTCTACTTGTCCTGCAAATAATAAAAAAATCTCCTTGTAGAAAATTAAATTTCTTGAAGACATTTTTTATTTTTTTTTAATCTTTGTCCTACTTCATTATTAAATACCATCCATTTTCAACAAATTAGAACATGTGTTCCGATGAGGCTTTTTTGTTTTATCCAAGTCAAGGTTTCCTTTAAACATAACCTCTAAACAGGCAGCAGGGCTTGATGTTAACCATTGCCCGATCTCCCGGGGCAAGTAGGTTTTATTGTTGGGAGAGTACAAATTTAAACACAAAAAAAATTATTTATAACTCAAAATTATTTTAAAATCACCGACATTCAATGAAATCGACCCAAAAGTGTTGCCGCTGCCATTTTTGTTGTTTTGTACACATTCTCGCGTGATTTGAAAAAGCCGGGTGATTTTCCGCCAGATGGCGTGATTTTTGTCCACCTAGCGGTAATTTTGATGTAGTGACCAAAACGACAAACGGCTGCATTTATTTTGTCAGGGAAAACTAATCCTGAGTCAGTTAAAAGTCAGGGAATTCTGAAATGATGTAAGACTGTGGAAACCCTGTGTAAAATAACTATGTATAATGATTCTCTAGAAAAGTCAAATTATATTAATAGTATTATCTTGCATAAACATACAGTAACTCTAAAATAAGTTATTCATTTGTGACATTGACTTCTGTCTTGTGATTTATCTTAAGTTTTTAACCTGTCAAGTTTTTATAGATTTTTAACATTAAAATTTATATTTTTCCAAGCACACAACAGTTTAAAGCAAAGTTTAGTTTGAAAAGAATGTACAGGAAGGATTGAAAAGCATGTTAACACGGTAATGTAGGCTTGGGTTCATTATCTGACAAATGCATATACACACCAGGAACCTGTAAACTTAAAAAATACTAAATTAATTAAAATGAATATTTGGAACTATATTTATCAAACATTATACTGGGCAAGTAAAAATTGTTTCTGGGCAAATGAAATGTGAAAGTCACTTGCCCGTTAAAAAACCTTAACATCAACCCCTGGGCAGCATTACACATTTCATGTTTCACTTGAAGAAATTTACTGCCTTAACCTCTCAAAACCCACCGTTTTAAAACTTTTACAAATAAAAACTCAAAATTCATGAAAATGACACTGGTAAAATGTTTACCAATGATGCTAGACATCATTGGAAAGCTTAGATTCTGCATAATTCATCCACCTAGTTCATTTTATGGACATAGCGAGCACCAAAGCACAATTAACACAGATATAGCAGCATGGCAAAATGTACCACGACAAAGAAGCAACAAGCAAGCATGTCTTAATTACTGCTGTTCAAAAAAAAGATTATTTTCGAGAATAAAAAAAATAACATTTAGACATGTTTGAGCTGATGCAGCTTGGGTGTTTTACTCACCCAATTTGCATGTATTTATTCAGAAACTAGAAGGTGTTAGCTTTCGATTATTGTATCACACATGTAATGTGGACTTTAAGTTCCTCAGTTATTTGCTGGTATGCAAAATAGGCGAGAATTTCCCAAAATGAGGTGGATATTAAGAGGTTAAAAGAAGTTCTTACAGTAAAGAGCATCCATCTGCTGTCAGGTAGACCTGGGATTGCTAAAATCTGGTAAGCTGCTGTTTTAAAAGCACTTTTCAAGTAGGGGGGGGGGACTATAGACTGCCAATAATGCTGCAACAGAGCAGCCTGACAATCTGCACCACCAGTAGGAGGCAAGACAGATTGCAACCGGCAACCTACCGCACAACAAACTCCTACTTTCTGTTTAGCTAGCAGCCCTCATGAGATTGCATTAAAGAAAAAAACACTACAATCCTAAAGCCCTCATGAGATTGCATTAAAGAAAAAAACACTACAATGGTTCAATCATTCCCACTATTTGTGGGGTTTTTTAATAAGGGATGTTCTTATTGAATCCGTAATGTTATATGTTCATATCTATTTGGGGATTTTATCTTAAAGTATAGATCTTTACTTATCTGTTTTAGATCCATAGAAACGTTATCATGTTGTTGTGCTTTGTTATGTATACAGTGATGAGTAAAAAGATCTGATTTAGCTTTAAACTTGTAAATAATGATTTATTCTCTATCACCCTTTGCATTAAGGCTTAAAATTATGTATTAGACAACTTCTAAGATTATCGATGGTTTAGGCAATAAAAGCTCTTAATCCAACTCAGGTTTTATACATGAGATTCAATAAAGAAAAAAACACCTGTCACACTCCCCCCCACTTCATAGAAGCCTTGCTGCATATTCATCAGCTGTCGATTAATGCTGTGACTCTCACTGCCAGTCGGATCCAAAAGGTGAAGGTTGGCTTTGAGAGACTCTGGAAGCAACTGGAATCTGATGAACTCATTAACATGTTGGTGTGATGATGCCAACCTCCCCTGCTGCTCGCAGCCATTAGGCCGGGCGCGAAGTCACCATCAATACTCTGAGATGTCGTGGCATTTCAGTAAAGCTCAGCTGGTATTCTGGGGCTTAATCTGTGTCAGAAAAGAACAGCCTACCTCTTCACACCCTGTTAACATCAACGCTATGACTCATGGGAAGAAACACAGCGGTCTAAGGGAAACCAGCTGTTTGACCGCATTTGGTATCCATACATCAGAGCCAAAAGATGAATAAATGACATAAAGTAACACCAAAATATCAGCTATCAAAGCTCAACCAAACAGTTTTAAAAGGCTCTGTTCTTTTGGTATCTTTTTTCACACTATAAAAAAAGAAAAAAACAACTTTATATTGCTTTTTTTTGTTATTATAAAGAAAAATGGCTCCATCTTCCCAGAAACTCCTTAGAGAGCCAGAAGGAGCAACTTGAGGCCAACAGACCAACAACAAGTTGTTTTTTCTTCTTCTCTTCCTGACTACCTGGTACACCTTTAAGGAGGATGACTGCAAGTTAATATGCAACCTAAATGTGGTTAATGTTGACGTCGCCATCTGCTGGCACAGCATGGGCATTAAAACAGAGACAATTGGAATCTCAACAAATAAATAGATGTTTTAATTTGTCTTTAACACAAAAAAAAAAAACGCATAAGTTACAAATGGCCAATAGGAGCAGTGTCTATCTGAGACACTTGTCATGTAATATTGTGAATATAGTGGAACAATATCTTATTGTCTCCAACATTTATATTACAACAAAAATCATCCTCTATATTAAACCCAATAAAAATACCATCTATATTTTATAATTAAAGATATAGCTGATAGTCCAACACTTCAAAACAGTCACAAATACGTATAAACCTTCTTAGTCGCCTTTTGAACAAACAACAAGTGTTGTTGTCTTCTATTTTAACTGTTACTGTTGCCTTCATCTCAACGCCTTCCTTCAACTTTAGCAACAACATGCTCCTCTAACCCATTCTGATGTTACCTGCAATCATTTAAAGAACCAGACTTTTTTGCTTTCTGACAATAAAATGCAGTTGGTAAAAATTTTTTTTTTTTTGTTGCTGTTTGTATTAAAAGAAAATCTATAAGTATGTATATTTTTTTCAATTCTCAGCAGTTTCGAAAAACAAAGCAGTCCAAAAGTATTCATTTTTTGATCAAAGTTAGCTTAGGCTAAATTATTTTACCGCCAAACCAAATTAAAACCAAATAACTTTCCTTCCTAATGAAGTTCTTATAAATGAAGGTGGTCGTGTCACGTTTTTCCAACAAGCAGAAAGCGTTGAGGTTTCATTAGCCCTCAGGGCCTAATGAGCTCAGGGCCAAACAACCTCTAAATCAAGTCTCCTTCTCTCATCAAGGGAGGCATCTTGCGCTCTGCAATGGCTGTTTCATCACTCTCTAGGTTTAATGTCATGAGTCCTGCCATGACCCTGAGGCAGTTTCCCAAATGAACCCGATGAAACCAAATGGGAAGCCCATTATGGCAGCGCTGCTGATAAATGGTCCCGCTTCAAACACATGGAATAGATCCATGATCATTTATTCGCATGTCATTGTGTGTTCTGCCTTTACACAGCTGCCCTCTACATAAATCCAGAGATTTGTCTCTAAACGTTCAAGGAAAACAGATGCTATCAGTGAAAATGGGGATCAGAAAATCTATGCAAATTTACTATTATAAAAAAACAAAGTCGGATTCTCAAAAAAATCTCTAAATAAAACTGAAAAATATAACCAAACCCTAAAGCTTCAGTTTATTGGACATATTGTACGGTTTCTCCCCACAGATAGATCAGTGTTTTTCAACCCTGGTCCTCAAAGCACACTGCCCCGCATGTTTTAGATGTTTCCCAGCTTTCACACACCAGTTATCAATTGATAGCAGATTATCAGGCTTTGCTGAACTGCAATCATCTGAATCAGGTTTTCTGAACCTCAGAAACATCCAAAACATGCAGAGCAGGGTGCCTTGAGGACCAGGATTGAAAAAAACACTGAGATAGATAACCAAGCCTAATGAAATTGGAGTTCAAAATGTGTGAATAGAGACTGTCAGTTAGTTGTGCCTAGAGGAGAACACAACAACACCTCCTTCCCTCCTGAATAGTTAGTTATCTTGGGGCATCCCCACAGGCGGAGCCTCAGGAGATGGGACAAACAGAGGCAACAGGATTCGAGCAGTGACACTGAAAAAGAAAAACATCATAGCTCCATTTTCCAAATACAAATAAAAAAGAACAACATGCACCAATCAGAGGTGATCAAAGTCAAACTAAACAGCTTTATTTAATAAGTCCATATAGATTTATCAGCACTAAGTATGAGCTATTTCACTATAAAGGCATTTAGATTTTATGTATTTCTGTAAGCTTAAGACCTTTTGATGAGAAAGCTTGACTTTACTCTGCTTTTATGAAGGTTTGCCCATTAGCCACCTGTTGCAGTGTGCAGCCACACAGCTGGCTGAAAGTAGCTGAAGGGATATTTAAAGTCTTTAAAGGGGAAAGAGGATTTTTCTCAGAAATTAAGTGTTCAGATTTGTCTAAAATGAATTAATTGATGGATGGTATTCTTGCACTTTTTAAACTCTGATGGTGGGGCCAACAAAACATTAGCCAATCCACTTTGCCTACTCTTGAAAGTGGATTGGCTAAATGTTTGTCAAATACTTTGCGTACGTGCCGCCATGATGTTTTTACGTGGGCTCCAAACATAACTCATAAGCTGTTTAGCTAGCAGTCCGCCATTACGCCAAAGCACGAACAAGCACTCCTACACTTGTTTACCGTTGTGGCTTTTTTTTCCTGCTATTTGTTCACTCTTTTGTGTAAACTAGAGCATCAATGATCTAGTTAACACAAACTAACAAATTGTAACAAACACCAACAAATTGTAAATATAACTGGCAGTGATAACGCCAGCAGAGACCTCTTCTTCTTATGGAGATTTCCTGCTGACTAGGTGCATCTTGACACTTTGCTGCCTCTCTAGGTGAAACAATATTACAAGTGGAGGTGTTTTCAGCGTAGAAAAGTTTTGCAAAGGAGGGGGGGCACTGACGCATGCGCATGGTTCAAAACCACACAAACAGCTTTTGGACATATCTTCCACCACAGAATCCTCTTTCCTGCCTTTAAGGACAGATCAAATTGGCTGGTGGTCAATATTTTAAGTTGTTAAAAACACAAATCGCCACAAAGGAGCAACTAATCGACCGCAGATATCGGCTCATCACGCCGGGGCTCGTCTGTAAAGAACTAGGAGGTTCAACTTGAAATAAATATTCAACTAATATCTCTATATTCATGAAAATGCTATATAATTAACCTACGTTTTAACTTGAGGTTTTCAAACTATGAAAATCTAACTTGAGCCAAGCTATTCTAAAGGAAATATTAAAAACTATTTGTTACAACAGGCATTAATTGATATAACTGATTACATTTAAACAGGTCTGAAATGCAAAACTGTTTATATGATTATTTAAGTTAAAAGTCACTAACTTTTCCCCAACTAGAATCGGGTATTACCACCATATTAGCAACTCTCCCACAGTAAAGTGGCACTAATATAACACAAAGTGTTTTACACAGGCATTTTAATCTTTATTAGCTTTTATTTTTATTCTATTTTATTACCTAATTCATGTAAAGCACTTTAAATTGTCCATGTACTGAATTGTGTTATACAAATAAACTTGCCTTGCCAGATATTCAACTCCGACCCAGCAGACAGGTGAAAAAGAAAAGGAATAAGCAAAAAGTACTAATTTACTTTCCTGCAAGGAAGACAGACTTCTCTTAAGCTTTCTTTTCTTTTAAATCACTTCCCTCCATCAGTTTTTGTCAAGTTTAACAAGTCCACTAAATGTTTAAACTTCTGGAAGAGGGATTCCTCTTTCGGTTCCTGAGAGCAGCTATTCTGCATCCATTTGGATGGATTAGTTCATAAAGACCTGATGTAAATTAAACGCTTTCTTTGACAGCAAACCATTGGAAGGCTTTTAACTGGGTTGTACTCGGGTTTCTGGAGAGGATGGAGCTGGTACCAACCCAATCCAGAACCTAGAAATGGACCCTAGAATGGTTAAAACTGCTGGGTTTATCTAGACCCTGAAGCTGCTGACCTTCAGTGTGAATGAATCTATCCTGTTCTACCAACATGGAAAAGGTCGAAGAGAAGGAAAGAGCAGAACATTTCAATAGGAGGAGTAGAGCAAAAACAAATTAGGACAAATCAACACAAAAAGAGGAAATAGTTTATAACGTATCATAAATAGTGAAGAGGTGTAGGTGCAAAACTAAGCTTGAAAAGGTAGGTTCCATGAGGAAATGTTAACTCATAGTGCAGCTTCTGCAGGGAGAGCAGAAATATCTTACTTTATATCTTCGCAGATTAAAATCGCTTTATTGTCATTTATTTATAAATAATATTGAGTAACTTTTTCGGTTATTTATTTTAGTTCATTTGGGATCCGTTTCATATGATGAAAACCCAGTGAGCTAAACAATGAGTATGAAATCTGATCGTTCCTTTGGCCACAAAGGTAAAACATCTCTACTTCCACGTCTAGTTGAATGGAGCTCAGCTGAGGTGCAGTAAATTACGGTGAAGATATAAACTCAGTCTGGATGTTTTCCCGCTGCGCTATGTTTTCCTCCAGCTCAGACACTCGGCTTTGAGCCGCACCACAGTCAGAACCAGGTTAATAAATTAATGAAATATGTCTTACTTGATATAAGTGCCAGAAGCATCACAAACTGGATACATGTAAATCTGTTTTAATCATGCTTTCAAACAGAAAGCTTCATGTGAAAATCTAAGTTTGATAAAGAATTTCCTAACATTATATTCGGAGTTCATAAGTTTAATATTATCATACAGAATGAAAATAACTGATAACTTTAACTGGACAATAATCGTTATTATGCAACAACTGACTACAATCAGTTAAGATGTGGATGTTTAAAAAAAAAAAAAAAAACCTGAGCTGGAAATCAGCTACAATCAATGCATTACTTCTCTTTGCACACCCCACCAGTGGGGGGGTTAGTAACTTAAAAACAATATTTTTCATGTAGACATAAAGTCCTTAATCTACCAAATCAGCCTCCTTAGTCTATAAGAAAAAAAGAAGTTAAACACTTACACTTTTATCGTGGGGTAACCTCGAACGCCAAACTCTGACGCCATTCCTGTAATTCACAAAAATAAACCCCAAACAGGATCAGATCAAAGAACTACACTGTTTTTTTAAATGGGGTAATTAAGTCATATATTGAACATCTCAATAGTCATCTAGACACAATTAAAAGGAAAGATCCAAAACATTTTTGTAAAGAAGATAAAATATGTTAGAGATCATTATCTGGACACAGAAAAGCCCTGAGGCGACATATTGAAGAGGCTTGTGATTTACTCACCAGAGTAAGCAGTGGCGTCCATCTTTCCAACACGTACTGGTGACCTGGAGCTCTTCAGCTCTGCTCCCACCTCCAACCATACTGGCTCCAGCTTTTTACAGTAACCGCACCACGGCGCGTAGAACTGGAAACAGAAACGATCAAGGGAGGGAGGTTATCTTCAGGGAAAGTAAACTCCTTGCTGCATCATATAGAAAAGAAAATTGGATTTTTTTTTTTATTTATCTTATCTGAGAAATCAAGAAACTCTTTGTTTTCCGATTTTGGAATTTCCTAATTCAAGACCAAAATCCAATGGCCAGCATGTACACAGACCGTTGAGGTTAGAGATTTTTTTTTTGTGTGTGTGTATCATTTGAAAACAGCCGTTTCTATTTATCCAAGTCATCTTTTTTTCAATTAGTGTGATGAGCTGCAACATTTATTTACCCCAGATCATATTTTTATAATCTTTTATCATGTTTTTATCTTTATTTGCTTTTATTCATTCTTCTATGTTATTGTTTAATTCATTTAAAGGCACTTTGAATTGATTTTGTACCGAATTGTTCTATAAAAAATTAATTTGCCTTACCTTAAGTGTGACAAAAGAACTACCGTATTTTCACGACTATAAGGCGCACTTAAACGTCTTTTTTTTTCCTCAAAATGTGCGGTGCGCCCTATGGTGCGGTGCGCCTTATGTGTGTTGTAACTGCGACTTTTGAGACCACCTCATTGAGGAGATGATGAAAGAGTGGCTGAATGTAAGGAGACCAGGTGTTTTTTTTCCACCCCTCACCATCACTGTTAATATGTAACTCCATGCGTGCCCATCTCACAGCTGATGTGAAAAACATGGGGAAACAAATTAACGCTGCTCGACATCGGTGTGAACCGGACCCAGCAGGTGCAGCAGAAGCAGCGAGTTTACATGCAAAGTCAATGGTTGACGCGCATATAGGTGCAGCAAAAGGTCCCGCAGCGCATTTTGGTGCAGCACGTCGGGAGCGTTTAAGCATCTGAAGCACCGCCAACGCGCTGCTGCTGCTCAGATGGAAAAATTGAAGTTTTGCTGCTGGACGCGCCGCATCAACCAATCAGAGAAGCTGATCTGGGAGCTGCCAGCGAGACAGACAGCGCTCTGATGACATATGATATTAACGCAAATGGAAAAGGCTGGATGGATGCGTGGCTGAGGCAGGTGTATGTGAGAAGACTAGGTGGTTTTTTCCACGCATCACCATCGCTGCGTGCCCATCTCACAGCCGATGTGAAAAAAAGGTGAATCAATGAACGCTGTGCTTGCCGTTATCCCGGGGGTCTGACAAAGGAGCTTCAACCGCTCGACATCGGTGTGAAGCAGCCGTTCGAAGTAAGGCTGCGACCGGCGTGGGAGCGATGGATGACCGACGGAGACCACAGTTTCAGGATAAGAAGGCAGCGCCGGGCAGATTACGCCACAGTTTGCGGATGGATTGTAGATGCTTGGACTAACGTGTCTGCTGGCTCTGTTGTTCCAAGCTTTCGCAAAAGCCGGCATTATTTCTGAGGAGCTGCGCTGCACGGAAAGTGACTGACAGCGCAGAAGGGGAAACTGGCATGTCTGATTTAGCGCAGCTGTTTTATTCAGAAACAGAGGATGATGACTTTGATGGGTTTGATTAATACTTTGTAATAAATACATGAATAAAGCACAATCATACTCAGTTTTGCTCCCGCTGTATTTTTCTCCCTGAAAACTTAATTCAACAGCATCCCCGGCGCGTCTCCTCCTCTTCATCGCGGTGGCTGGCAGGTGTTTTTTCATCTAAATAATCTAAATCTTGCAGCTATATTTGCTGTGATCAGTGGGAATAAAGTAGTTTTAATATGTTTTTAAGTGAGAAAGTCCACCTGAAAACTTAATAATTGCAGTCAGTTAATCCAGATTATCTATTTCTGTCGGAGGCGCTCAGACCCCCACATACCAGCGGTGCGCTGACAGCAGAAATCTCTTCATCAGCAGCCTGTAGGCTGGGCAGCCTGGGGTTCACCGCGGCTGCTGGCAGGTGTTTTTCATCTAAATAATTTTAGCTGCAGGCACCAGGATACCGGCAATAAAAGCGAACATATTCCGTCAGCAGGTTTCAGGATTTTAAGTTAATTTAGGAGTGATCACAGCGCTGTGTCATCTGCGATGTCTCTGTCTCACGGCCAGCTGCCAGGTTTGATTAATACTTTGTAATAAATACATGAATAAAGCACAGTCATACTCAGTTTTGCCCCCGCTGTATTTTTAAATACGCAGTAGAGGTATTTAAAGGTAGTAGAGGACTTGTACCTGTATATAAAAAACGCGCCCTATAGTCCGGTGCGCCTTATGTGTGTGTTAAATACAGAAATGGGACACATAACTGAGAGTGCGCCTTTTAGTCCGGTGCGCCTTATGGTCGTGAAAATACGGTAAAATAGAAAAAATATGCATGGTAAAACCCGTTTCATTGTGTTATCTGCTGCTAAATTTACCAACTTATTACAATATTCTTGCTGCAAACTGCAGAGAACAATCAGTTTTCCAGTTTGAGCGTTTTGGGTAAGAAAGGAGAAAACTTGCTGACAGGGCAAGTACCACCCTCATCCGTTACAGAAAAAAAAAAAAAAAGGAAACTTGATGGCGACATTTATTGTAGCACAGAAAGGTTGATCATTCATGATTGTCAGACTTTATTTTGTTACTTAATCATAAATCTGGTTATGACACATGTATTCCAGGGTACATAAAGCACCTCTGATATATTCTACAAATATTAATCTAATTCCTGATCTTGTATATAAAGCTTCTACAAAGTGATAAACTAATCAGAACAATATAGGACCATATAGGTAAACAAACTGGGTTTTGCTGCATTGCTCATGCCATAGACAGATTGTGGTCTTTGATGTAGATCAAAGCACCAGATTCATACAAGAACCGAGCTGGAATGTTGCATCTATATATGTCAATACATGTTACACAGAATAAAATGATCAAACTAAAGGAATGCAGCATCACAACAAAGAATATAAAGGGAAGATCATGCAGCTTTGGGAAAATAGGGAGAACAAGAAGGCATCAGAGACACAGCTAGCTCCAAGGTTGTCTTTGTTATGCAAAAACATTGAATATCAACCTTCAGGCTTAATACTGAATGTATTCTAACCCTTAAATACAGATCTATTGTAATAAATAGCGAGATAATAAAAAATATGTAAGCAACTGACAATTTAAACTTCTTTTCAGTAGTGGCAGATGGTGATTTTTAAAAGGATTTCATAAGGAGAAAAAAAGTGTTAAAGGCCTTTTAACGCTAAAATCATATTTCATAGTAACTTCCTATTTATACCCACCCCTGTTCTATTTTGCGAGTAAAAAACACTCCTTTAATTGGACACAACATCAATTTTAAATGCTTTATTTTATTAAAACTATGTGTTTTATCGCAGCATATGTCATGACACCACAACTATAAAAAAAATTATCAAAACTATTTATACAAGTTTTAGTGTTGATAGGTACTTTACCGTGCTTGTTATAAAACACGTACAGTATGCCCAAAACAAAACTTTACAATTGATAAATGGATTGATTATCATTATATTTTATTAAACGATTGAATAGGAAGCTATTTTATCAGTACTTGTTAAAAAGAATACAGCATCTAGGTCAACAGACATTTTTAATTTAAAAAGAATATATCAAAAGAACTTGAGAACTCTTATTATCCAGTAGGGCTGCAACGAAAGATTATTTTGCAAATCCATTAATCTGTGGATTATTTTTTAGATTAATTGATTAACAATCGGATAGCCAAAGGTTCCTTAAAGAATATTTTTTTACTAAATTAATCCAGGTAAAAATAAAACCTCTCCACCTGTGGAGTTCTGAATAGAGCATATGGACAGACAAAAAAAAGGTTTATTTTGAATGCAAACATTTTTAACAATCTTGGTATAATTTCTACCCTAAATTGGTTGCTATGTCACCTAAAGGCATATTTTTAGAGTCTCTTTACTCCAGTCAACGGTTAATTGATTACTAAATTAGTTGACAATTATTTCAACAATCAATCACGATTATTCCAATTAATTGTTTCAGCCCTATTATCCAGTTTTTCAAAAGGAGATATAATAGACAGTAATGGCTGTGAGTAGGAAGGACTCTGTGCTGCGTAATTATTGGTTCTTAGATCAGATGCTTTGGGTTCAGTGTTAATTGCTTGAAGAATCTATGTTTGTACAATTATCTCAAGAGGTTCTCTGGCTTCACAAAAAAATAAATATTCAAAATATTAAATAAATCTGATCTGATCCTCTGCTGCATTTCATTGTAACAACGAAACAACTTTGATTAATACAAAAAGACTTTCTGTCATCATGTTTTTATAGACTCAGAGATAAAACTGCATTTTATTTTCAATTTACTGAACGGTTTACTTGTGTTTCTTTTACATTAATTAGTTACAATCCACTCGGCTCCAATAAATACAGAATGTAGCATAGATGGATTGAGAGTTTGTTCTGCTTGCTTCTCCTGTAAGACCAGTTATCTTAAATAAATTATATATATATATATTTTATTTTTTTTTTTATAGATTTAAAAATTCAAGCTTATGCAGCTGCTACAGAAGAGCTGAGAAATCAGATTATCAGAATCAGGTGATTGAGAATCCCAAGGAGTTTACCGGCTGGTAAGAACATTTGAAATCCAACATGTTTCCAATCAGTGAAAATGCCATATGGAGCGTTACACCTACCAGGCTATGCTGAGTTACGTCAGGATGTTAAAAATAAGCGACGAAGACTTTGTGTTAAAGAGACGCGAAATAAGGTACATCGTCTAGAGCATGTTGAAGTCCACCTTAAAACAAGGATGCAAGAGACAGCAGGAATTTTAGCAGAAAATAAGGAGGCCCAGTGCAGATTCCTTCTCTTTTAAAAATGTAAAACTTTCTATTTCTGCCAGAGAAAAAAAAAGATTAATTATAATCTAATTAAGATATTTAACAAATGATCAAGCCTTTTGTTTTAAATATTAAATGAAGGTTTTTCAATGACTTCTCTCTGACTATTAGAGATGAAACATCACATCTGCTCTGAATGGAAACAATATCTGGAATACTGCTTCTTGAGGAGAAATCATATTTGTCTTAAAATTGCTCCTCAAGCTCAACATCTAACATGGAAAAAGGAAATGTCTAAACAGGTGAATATCCAAAAATTGGACTCAAAACTGAATAGCACATTTTAAAAAGTCCTCAATTACTCTGAAAGAAAGTGTTTTCTGGTTAATCCTGTAAGTTTAATATCTGCCACACTGTGACCAACATGCAAATGCAAATATTCAAATAGCCCTCATATCAGAAGTTATTCCTGGAGCCCAGACTAGCTGGTAAAGCCACCGATTTTGGCCCAGACCCAAACTCCACAACTTTAAACCTCTCCAATCCCCCTGGGCTTTTCCCCGCATGCTTGGTCCCTTATCAACCAATCACCAGCCCACGCACGCTCCCCAGCCACTGTCACTTCCGCCACTGGTGATCCAGGCAGCGGCGGGCTGGATGTAAAGTAAACTGGTGTTCAATGGGATTTATGAATCGCTCTGTGTTTGGATGTGCATGAAATATCAGACTCACATCAACCAGCCAGACATCATTCTCTCTGGTGTCCTTAAACCTAGGAAAGAAAAGAGAACCAGAGAAATATTCTGACACACTTCAGCTTAGTAAGATTTTTAAAGACAGTCATTTGTGATGTATTTAACACTTAACGAACTCAGTTTGATGCATTTAAAAACTTGATCAGTCTAAATCAAACTTCATGGCTGTAGTTTTTCTTTCTTCTGATAAAAACAAAACAAACATAAACTAATAAAACTCAAATTTTATCAAGAGAAATAGGCCAATAATGCAGAATATTGACCTTCTTTGCTGCTATAAGTTGAAAATAATTGAAGTTGTGCATGATATTAACAAGCATTGGAAAAAACATCACTTATTCACTGTGCATTTATAAAAAATAAAAATAAAAACATGTAACTTTACAGAGCTGCATTATTGTATGATCCAGTTTCAATGAAAACACAATGGCTGGAAAATAGAAACAGTAAAAGCATCACTTACGTTTCGTCAAGGTCTTCAACAAAACCAAGCACCGCTGAGCACAAGAAAGCAGCTAGAACTGCAACAATAAGAGAAGCAGAGAAATCAGACATGTTTGAAATGAGAGAGAAAATCTCTGATGACTGAAGCATCCCCTGCTAAAGCTACTGTCGCCCCCCGGCTAACTGTTCCTCAGCCTGGGCCACAGTCTGCACTAGAGCCGCTTAAGTTGTTCTAGAGCCCGCTGGTGAAAGCTTAGGTGCTAAGGCTTTGGTGGAGCAGCTGACAAGAAGGAGAACGTACCTCCACAAATCACGGAAGCTTTCACTTCTGCCATTGCTTCAGGAGGAAAGAGCAAAGCAGGAAACGCTGCTGCTAACGGCGCGCGATCTGCGCATGCGCAGAATGACGCAGCAGTTTGCGGCAGGTTTCCGTTTGGTTCATTTTTATGGAAAAACATATAAAATATCTTTTTAAATACAGTAAAAGAAGAAAATGATCGTTTGAAATGTTAAATCTGCGCATCATATCGGACTTTAAATGTGTGATTTTTTTTGTGATTTTGCCTTCTGTAAAATAATTAATTTAATTTAATATTTTAGCATAAATTTTTATAATTTTCACCTCTCAAATATATGTTGCGCACATTTTCATTCTAATTTCTGCTTTACCATTTTTTTTATGTTTTTTATCTTTTATTTATTTATTTATTTTTGTTTGTTTGTTTGTTTAACTTTTTCTAATTTATCATTTATTTAAAAAAAAAAACGTAATAATAATAAAAATTGCTATTCTTCTCACTTCATTTTTTTGTTTGTCTCCTAATTGTCAAGTTTGATATAAAAAGTTTTTTTAATATTCATCTTATAATTTTAACTTTTTTCGTTTTTATTCTCTAAGTTTATTGGCTTATTTGTGTTCTTGATTATTGAATGATCATATCTAGGTAAGTATAGGCCATTTAAAACTGCAATCTACTTTCCTTTTAATGTTTCTTTTTTGTCTTTGGCTGAAATGTGCCACATAAATAAACTTGTCTTACATCTAATTTGAGGTAAGTTGTTTTAATAAAGACAGCTTATATTTTTTTAAAGAATTAAAATTGGAATAGCATTACATGATGAACCTTGTGACATACTGCTTCTGTATATTCTGTTAATGTTATTTCTTTTTTCATAATAATATTTTTTTTTATTCATGACATCAACTTTCTCTAAATTTCCTTGTTTAAATATTTTCAAACCAATATAATTTTAAATGAACTATACAAAATTGTTATTGTTATTTACATTATGGATAATTTAAGAGGGCAAATCTGTTTTTTTGCTATTAATTAGTTTCTTTCTTATTAAAATGTTTCATTTATGATTTTGTCTGGTCCATTTCTCTTTTTGTGTTGCACATAAAAACAGCAAAAACAAAATTTGGATTTGAAGAAATACTAAGTTTGAAGTTCATAATTAAATTATTTATCAATTTAAACTTTACTTATCGCCAGTTCATATCTTTTATTTTACAATTTTGCATAGCTTTCTTGCTTTCCTACTTTGGTTCATTTTCTTGAAAATTACAAATATTAAGCTAGGAAATTGACACTATGGTGTAAATAGATCTATAGCAGTCGTTTCATTAAATATTATTGAGTTAATCATTAAGTTATTCAAATAAAAGTATTTTTTACCCATTTATATAGCAATTTGCAGTTTTAACAGTTGTGCATTTTTTGCTGCTTTTTGCTTTACACCAACTTTCTGCTACCAACAATGGCAAACATTAATATCAACATATAATTGTAGATAAATTTAGCATTGCTTTGTGGTAGGTCTCATATGCTTTTTGTTTTCAGACTTATTTTACCTAACGGATTGATAAATATCTTTGAATCAGAATGAATAGTAAAAATAATTTCAAATATCAGCCACAAGGTGTCCCTCCAAGTTAATGGCTAAGTGCAAGCTTACCAACTTAAATACACTTTATTCCTGTATAGGCTCTTTTTGTGACACAAACAATAACAAACTTGTTGTAATCTGATAACCAAACAATATTACAAATGTTCCTGCATTAAAGACATTATTTGAATGTGAATTCCTACATTCTGCTTAGGTGCAAAATTGACCCTTTATCCATCAATATTCTGCCATACTCATAAACAAAACACAACAGCAGCATGTATTTTACTGAAATATATTTATTTGTTTGAGAAAAAATTGAGTGATAATCTGTATCTCATAGAACTTTTTTATTTTTAAGATTATCAAACAGCTTCATAATTAGAGTTACCTTCATTTAAGCATATTCACTGCAAAATTATTTGCCAGAACAAACAATAACAAATCGCAAAAGGTGGCTTAATATAAGAGATATTTTTATGTATTTTGTTACATCATACACCATCTTGCTTTTACTATATAACTCCTAAAGTCCTTCCTGGCCCATTAGGCACAGTGATATGTATCAACATTCCAAAGAAACAGAAGTACAGGGAATTTGTTGCTGGTATATTTACTTTGCTGCATTGCCCTTGTTAAGAACCACCACAGTCACAACTTCATGCATGGGGTTTAAATCTGAAAGACTTGCAATAAACACCTAATACATTGTTGGTATCTGATGGCTTTCAGTTTTAAATTCAACTTAGTTTATTTATATAGCGCAAATTGACAACACATCATCTCATGGCTCTTTACAGAGACAATTCATCATACAGTCAGATTGGGTCAAAGTTTTCTATCTAAGGAAAACCAGCTGATTGCATCGACTCAATGACTTTCAAACAGACCTTTAAAAAAAAAAAGCTTCTGCAAATGTGCTCCTTCAAAAAGATAATCTATAGCTAAAGTAATAATGGATGAAATACTGTTCTGACTTAATGAGCATGAAGCTGTTGTTGTGTTTCATCCTTAATAGAGCTTTACTTTCTCACGGGTGTGAATAAAGATCAAGCCAGTGTTGCTAAATAGACTCATGCAGAGGACATGCTCTGGCAAGTCTGCAAGGGTTGAATCCTTTTTATTTGCAGGGGGGGAAAAAATGGGCATGAGAAGTTAGCTTACAGAGATAAAAACATCTAAAACCATCCATACATACAATGATCCTTTTAGTTCCAAGTGTTCAGAACTGTAGGTGTCTTCTTTATAGCGGCATGACCAATGAAGAATTTTCTTTTTAGCATAGAGCATTCAAACAACCAAAGTGATTTGTCTGCTTCAGATAAAGGATTCTTGTTTATCCATCCTGGGCCAAGCTGCAGAATCCCACGCTCAAAGAAAGCTGACTGAGCCCACTCATGTCATGTCACAGGGCGGGACAGAAATGACTTCAGCTGAGCCGGAAAACAAAGCCTCCATTGCTCCGTTTCATCATTTCTCCAACAGCAGCAAAAGCACTACGGTGGTTTAGCTTTTGTTGTTAGGGTTCACATTCATAAGATTATTTGTCACCAAGGAAAAACATTATTTACATATTCTATAACTGAGACAAAAATAACAATCCAAGGAAACATCATTTTCTGATTTTGGAAATAAAATGATTCTTTAGATCTATGTTTATTTAGTATAAGCACATTTAAACAATTCCCAATTGTTCATGTGGGGGAAAAAAGTACATTTAAAAAAAACCTTTACATAATTTCCATTAAGCCACATTATTGTATTAAAAATCTTTCTATTATCAGTCTGATGTTGTCATGTTGTTAGCTGAGAGCAGGAAATAAAGAAAGAAATGCTGGAAAATGGCATTTATATAATCAATAATAATGTGTTCAAAACTGTTTTTTAAAATCTCAACTATCTCAATATTCAGTGCTATTTTGCTCTATGTCACAGTGGTCAGAAAAATTAAATACTCTGCAATTCCTCAGTACTCCATTTATGTGGTGAAGTGACAATAGTGTTAAATCTTGAACTGAGTTATTTAAATAAAATAAGTTTTTTAAATAATATTAAAACGTATTGAATTTCTCTGAGGGGCTGCACAGTGGGCTAATTTTCACAAGATGGTTCCAGGTTCGATTCCCAGGGTCTTTCTGCATGGAGTTTGCATGTTCTCCCTGTGCATGCATGGGTTCTCTCCGGGTACTCCGTCTTCCTCCCACAGTCCAAAAACATGACTGTTAGGTTAATTGGCCTCTCTAAATTCTCCTTAGATGTGAGTGTGTGCATGAATGGTTGTTTGTCCTGTTTGTCTCTGTGTTGCCCTGCGATAGACTGGTGACCTGTCCAGGATGTACCCCGTCTCTTTGGCCCCAGATAGCTGGAGATAGGCAGCAGCACCCCTCGCGACCCCAGCAGGGATAAACGTGACAGAAAATGGGTGGATGGAGGTTTTGCTCTGTCTTTGGTGGTAACTGAACCAGGAACTAAGCTTGACCTGCAGAAACTTCAACTGGAACAAAATACTACCTGCTTTCAAGCTCAATGGAAACTGCATCATCCTGAAAATTGTTGGTAGATAAGAGTTAAAAGAGACACAATCCCAACACTGATACACACCAAGTGATACTGAAAACACCTATTTTAATGCATTGCGATACTGGACAGGATCTCTGTACCAGCAAATCCGTATTTCACATCAGGACTAACAACACTGATGCTATATCTCTAGTTTTGGCCAAAGGGTTATCTCAGGAGAGGACACTATTTTCTTCTAGTCTGTGTTAAATTGGCTTTCACATCACAGAATTCTTTGCTAAATCACAGACTTTACAATGAAAAGAGATAAAAAGTTTAGTTTAAAGAAGAAGACAATCGACTCCACAGATGCATTACAAATAGTAAAGCAGGACAGGGATTTAAAAGTGCGGCTCAGAAGATATAAAATAGTCCAGTCAATTAAAATGATTGCTGGTCATTAATGTTAAATGGTCCAATAAATTACAGCTGTGCTGAAGCTTTAACTTATGTGTGATGCCTCTGCAGGGTTTAGTTCGGTTAAAATACTATATTACAATTTTTAGTAAATGTCTCCATGTAGCTTCACAACCATGCTACAAAAAGATATCTGCATCACTTTTGATACAAGAGGTAAGACTCCAGATGAGGCACACTGGTGATGTCCCATACAGGGATAAAGGGAGAGGCTGCAGCTCCCTTTCGAAGTTCATCAACTCTGGAAGCTGCTGCAATCAGGAGCAGCATTGAACCAGAGCAGCTATAGCGCTGCATGGTTCAGTTGAGCTGGAGGAGAAATATCCGTCCACAAGGGTTTTATTCTAGGATGTCCGTTTCAAATGGGACCAGGTGATAGTAGGAAAGGTTGGTGACATATGCCTCCGTCTCCTCATCACACACGTCTGCTTCCATTGGCAGAAAATTTGTTCCATCTTCATACCTGGGGAAAACCCAAAACAGTCAAAAGTTTAGTAAATGTCATAATTTATTGTTTGCTGTACTTTTGGGTTTCTTAAAACAGTTCTAGTTCAGGAGTTGGTCGACAATGTGGTGAATTATTTTGATGCTTTTGAATCAAGAAATGGGTGCCCACATTATAATTTATTGGATTTCTTTAAAACTGGAAAGTTCGAAATTACAGATTTAAAATGAAATGAGTTATCACAAGTCCAATAATAGAATTTAATTAGCTTAATGTCAGCTTGCCTCATTTGTTCAAAGAGCAGTTTTAACTTGTTTGGGATTATTTTCCTGTTACTAATCACTATGTTGATCTGGGGTAAAGTTAAAGAATATGAAAGGTCTTTTTTTGTTATTGCTGCCACTTTGTGCAAATCTCCAGTACCACTGGAAGAAAAACAGGCCCACAGCATGGCGCTACCACCACCATGCACAATAACTTATACAGTCTTCTTTGGGTTGAAAGCCTAAGTAGTCCCTTTTCTTCATGTTATGGGAAAACAGATCAACCATGTCCAGCTACAACGCTTAGGAGCCATTTATCCCTGATCAAAAAAAACCCCAGAATCTTTTATACCCATACATTTTTTTTTCTCGTCCATTAAGGCCCTTAAGTCAATTTAAAAAAACTGATGATGGTTGGTTCATTTAGATATTAAACCTGTTCTGATTTGACCTAGGATATTGGTGTTTCAGTCTCCAGCAGAGGTGAGTCCTTCCACTTCCATGTTTGTTCCGAGCAGTTTTAAAGACTTTTCCACAGTGGTTTGTGTAATGATACTAAGCTTACATCAAAACTAGGGCTGAACGATTAATTGCATTTGCAATAATATCGCAATAGGATAAAACGAGATTTTCTAACCGCAAAGGATTGGATTTGACGGGTCACGTGATGGGGGATGATGCACTAGCAAACTAACACGGAGGGAAACTTGATATCGTCCGCGACTACCCTGCTGAACAATGCCCTCAGACTGGACAAAAACTGAAACAACTGAAGGTCTGGTACCAAAGAGGAACAGTACGTCACTTGTGTGGAATTATTTTGGGTTTAAAAAAGAAGACGCTGCGCAACATCAGGTGTTGTGCCAGACATGCCTTGCTATTGTTACTACCTCACGAGGTAACACGACGAACCTTTATCAACACCTGAAAAAACCACCACAAGGCTATGTATGATAGTTGCATGGCTAGAACGGCAACTACCAGTGCCTAAACGTTAATTAAGCAAAGTACCACCTGACAGGGATAGCTGACCGAACTGTTTGAAAGTGTTATTCCTTACGAACAAACTTCGAAACAGCACACTAAAATAACATGATGCCAATCAGTATAGTGACTAAACAAATCTGTTTCATAATAATTAGATTTATTTAAAGTTTAAAAAAAGTGAGAAATTAAACCGGAATGATTGCATTAAATCGCAATGTTAATATAAGAAATCGCAATTAGATTTTTTTTTTCCAAAATCGTCCAGCCCTAATCAAAACTGACCTCGGATCCATGAAAATACGATTCTGGAATAATACTCAACACTAATGACCAAAAAAGCAGACTTTAAATACTTGAAACTGACCACCAGATAAATGTCACAAGCTTGCTGGTGGCTATAAAAACCTTAGTCATGGTACAATTTGTGAATGTAGTTTAATCTACTATCACTGGTGTATATATATATATATATATATATATATATATATATATATATATATATATATATATATATATATCTATCAATATGGAGGTTGACAGTGACTTTTGGCTTTTTTACAAAGTTCTTTTTTTTTTTAAGTCTGCTTTGTGGGAAGTACTGAAAAGAATGCATTCCTCTTTTGCTTCCTACACGAAAAAGGAAGAGGTGTACAGACAGACTTCCTGTCATGTGTAAAAGGGGTAGACGGTCACATTCAAGGAGTTCTTTATCCAGCTTTTCAGAAGCAAACATGGAGACTGCTGGATTTGTGGAAAATATATAAACCGGTAAAGAAACTGATGTTAAACTGAAACAATCTGTCTCAAAAGCTATCTTAGCAAGATAGATACAATGAGTGTTTTTCTTATTTGCAGAACATTTTAAACTGATCTTGCTGAGAAGCCTTATGGATCCATACTCACAAGTGTTCTACAGAGTCTGTGGATGAAGGTCTTTCTTTTTCATCTGGGACGCTATCATCAAATACAATAGTTTCTGTGTTGGCCAGACAGAATCCATTTGACCGCATGATTTCTGAAAGGTACAGAGTGCAGCATTTCATCATATGTGAACTTATCAAGGCATGGGGGAAGAAATCAGTGCATTCATGGAAATGCCCCACACATGCATTTACCTGATATGTTGATTGGATTCTGAAAGCACGGCTGGATTCGGTGGACTTTGTCATTCCTTAACACTTGGTCGAGTGGAGAGCGCTCAAAGAACGTCAACATCACCTCTGACCTGGAAAACTGGATAGGGATTGTTTTAAGATCGTTTCTGGGACTGGAAATGTACGGCATGAAATTAAAAATCCAGAATGTCCTCTAATATTTTGTGCAACCCAGATTTTTAAACCCTACCAATAAAGACAAATAAGTTGTTCCTATTTTTTGCTGTTAATTCTATATTACCTCCTACGTTTTATAGTAAATAGTATTATGGTAGTTTTAACCATGAATCTTCCATGGCTGTCCTATCTGTTGAAATACACTTTAAAAGATTTGCCATGCTGGTTTGGGTACAGTGCTCAGAGGTGGGTATTAATCAGTTAAATTTACTAACTAATAAAAGGGGTTTGTACTTTTTACTTTAATGTGGGTATTAATATGATAAAGTATCACTACTTTTACTTGAGTAAAATTTCTGTCCAATCTAGTCATAGTAAGAAACTTCACTTAATAAAGAAATCCTTGTAATAAAAGCTTTTAACAAATATGCACCATAGAGGGACACTTTCTTCTTTTTTGTTCTCAAGGCTTATTTGTTTAGTGTTTTTTCTATCTGCTGAGTCTGCCGTGTCTTTTAAAAGTTGAGTGAAAATAAAGTAAACAGTATATTTTCATTTAAACTATTCTACATTTTATAACTATTGATTTTTTATGTTTTTTAACTCAAAAATGTATTCTGGATAGTGTTCACTCTACATGCATATTTTACTGTGTAATTACTGTATGTTATAGATTTTATTTTTTTGAAATAACAGAAGTGGAATATAACTTTTGTTAATTTTTTACGTCATTTTTGTAAAAAGTTCAGTTATTCAGTGCCTGAGTAGCCGTTTTCCCAAATACTTTTATAATCTTACTTGAGTTATTTCTTTAACAGCTACTTTTTACTTTTACTTGAGTGAAAATATGTTGAAGTAAAGCTGCTCTTACTTAGGTACAATTTTTGGGTACTCTACCCCATAGTTGCAAAAGCCATAATTCATCATGGTAGATAAATGCAAGGATGGTTATTTTAGGCTTTTCCTTGCTAACCACGATAGCCTTCAATGTGCATTAACACTTTTTCATTTATATTATACCAATATAATTATCATTTTACATTGAATATTAGAGGAGTATTGCTGAACTTTTTTGAAGTAACTGTTTTTTTAGCTGACAGATTACATTTTTGATGCAAATTGGTAGTGATATTTTTTAGCTTTTAGTTTTAGTTTTTTAGTTTTGCAAAATGGTCATTTGCTGTGTCATATCTTGCTTCTCCTTATATTTCTACGATAACTTGAGTCTGTAATAACCATTTCGAAACTTTGTTATGGTTATTTTCCTAACTACTCAGGTGACATCTCCATTACTATTTGACAAATCAAAACAATTTTTACAACATACAAAGATAAAAAAAAAATGTTTCTTTTTTAATCACATTTAAAAATAAAATTGTTGTCTTAGCTGCTTAATTGTGGTCCCACTTCCTATTCTGGTGGTTTACTGTGATTTTACCAGATTCTTCAAATGTCTGTTCCATGTAAAGAAAGTTTTACGGGTGAAAGAGTTTACAGCAGTACGGATGTCTAGAGGAACTGACCCATGCTCCAGCATCCCATCTTTGTCCCATATTTTTATCTGAAGCGAATAATAAACTGCAAATAGCCTTCAGGATCAATGAATGATTGGACAATAATGAAAAAAATTTAATATTTCACTTTAATGGATATCTTATCTATTTAGCATAAGGATTATTTCAAGTTTACAAGAAGCAGCACAGAGATAAATAAATATGTGACCATATTAACCTAAAACAAACAGTTACTGACTAACTTAACAGAATGTCAGTGAAGGGATTTGTAGTAATTATTCATATTTGGTATTAATACAGCCTCTATTTGTTGGGATCTGGAGGCTGTGTCCATCTTCTCCACCAGAGGGCGCACTAGATCTCCTGGGGGAATGAGCTGACTGCAACACCTGTCTTCAATCTGCTCATCAGGAGGCTCCTACTTAAGGAGGCGGAGACTGACACTCCAGTGCCAGAGTGTTTGTCAGTAATGGTACCAGCAAAACCTGAGCCCGTCTACCAGATCTTGCCTGATTCTTGTGAACCTGTCTGACCCTGTTTTCTCTCTGTCTCTCAGAACCTGACTTGCCTGGAAACCTGAAACACTGAAGAGAGAGACCTCAACCTGGAATCTGCCTGCCTGCACTCAGTTTGCCTCTGCCAAGCTCTCAGTTCTCCACCTGCCTGCACTCAGTTCAATCTCTGCTAGCCCTCAGCCCTCTGCTTGCCTACTAGCCTCTGGACCCTCAACCCCCCCCCCCCCCCCCCCCCCCCCCCCCCCACTCCCCTTCTAAGCTGGTATTCCCCCCATCATCTGATAAACAGCAGTTTACCTGGAACTCCTCTAACCTCTCTGTCCTCCTCAGTGGAGATCCAGCCGTGACCAGTCTGACCACCCAAGTTCCTGTTCACATTTTATTTACACCTTTTGTCAATAAACCTTTTGAACTTTCTCCTAACCTCCGTGTGTTTCTGCATATGGGTTAGACATCTAATCCCATCATGACACTATTTTTTATAATATTTTTAGGCACATATTGATTAGGCAATTTAGTGTTTCTATTATTATTTGTCAAATTACTAGCTTTAATTAAAAATTAAAAATTACTAACCTTGCACGGCATGTTGATGGCATTCTTTAGTAATCTTTCAACCTCATTCAGCTTCTCCTCAATGTCATGTGCATCTTTTATTTTTACCAGACCTGTAAAAGAGAGGAAGTTACAGACGCGGCATTAAAAACACCCCAAAATAACTGTTAAACCAACTAGAGAAACAAACCTAACATAGAAGGTAAGTTCAGACATACTATACAAAATCCACAGGCTGCATTTTAGTCTAAATCTTGATCTCTACAATGCTTCTCTGACTTGTACAGAACCCAGATTTGGATGGACCATTTACCAATCTTGAGGTGTATATCAACATTTTGATTCGATTCAATAGCACTTTTCTTTATCCTTATTTGGAACTAAGGTTTTGACACAGAAAATCCAAATTAGGTAGTTATTTAAATAACATTTCAAATCAAATCAATGGGCAAAGTTGTATGGTAATCAATCAGATGGAAGTCTGGACAGAGCCAATGAACTGAACACATTCTTCAAAAATTCACTTCAGGAACAGCTCAGCATGCTTCTCTCCTGCCCGCCTTTCATCCAAAGCTTCTATTTCACATCTCAAACTGTTATTCTTCCACTTCTGCTATCAACTCTTCTGCTTCAATGTTTTTGTTCTCAGCTGAATCAATTGGTGATGCTCCCATCTCTATGCCGTAACCACTAGGCCGCCTCTCACCCCCTAACAATTTCCTGACTCACTTTATTTATAAAACACATGAATTGACCGTTTCTTCTTTCTTTCTTTTTTCTGGCTTAATGAGAGCAGTGGGCTTTAGGCTGCCCCGCAAGGCTTTAAACCTGGGTTTGAATGGAGACAAAGCCATTCTCAAGCACATATCAAGGTGCTCATTTTGAGCCTGGATTGATATTTATTTTTGATTCTGTTCATGGTGGAGAATCCTGCTTATCAGCAGCAGGTTGAGCCAAAAATACTCAAAAGGTGCAGGGTCATCTTTGAGCACCCCATTTCACTTTTCTGTCACTAGCTCCAGCAGTCCTTGCTTTCTCTGCTCTCTTCTTTCATCGTCTTCTCAGCTTGCCACAGGTTTGCTTTCTGTGTCTAAAAGTAGCTAGCAGCAGCAATGCTGACTGACACAGCTTATGGCTAATATGCATCACGTCCAGCCTGGTGCCGGATGCTCCGGATGGCTTTACCATACAAACAGGAGAAGCAGCGCAAGTGACGTTAGACACTGTCGTCGGACGATGTAGTAATTTATGAGTGTTTTATATCAGGTTGGGTCCAGATCAGCCAGCAGGTGGGCCTGGATCCAGACCCCCGGTCTGCTAATCTGGGAACTCTGATTTCACAAAGAATTCCTCATAAAATGAACAACATTTTGGACAACAGTGAGCGTCCTCTTTGGCAGAGTGCTAAGCAACAACAGTGTCTGCAGACAGCTAAAAAAGATCCTTTCTGCCTACAGCTTTCAACACATATAACAACTTGTTGGGAAAAAAACATATAAGATATTACAAAATGCAATTTTCCTTTGGGATCAATAAAGTACTTTTAAACTGAATTGAATTGAATATACTATATCTAACACATAGCACAAAAAGAAGTGAGCAACAAACAAAGCCCTGAGATGTTCCTCATATTTGATCAGTAAAATTAAATATATTGAGGTTTACATGGACAGTGACGCTTCTGTCTGAAAGCTGAAAACAACAGTATTTCCGGAAATAAACTATTAAAATAAATGGTATGATGGACATAATCAAAGGATGTGGAAAGGTCTAACAAGATTAAAGCATTGAAGTCCAAAGCCTTCTCATCAAACATGATGTTAGTTGGTATATTGGACGAAACAATTTAGGTTGAATAGATTTAGCTAAAAACTGTTTAATATTAATAGAAAATGTTGCGTTGTTCCAGAAACTAAATCATCTGTTTGCCCCACAATTAAAAAGGTGCCTAACAGAAATGGTCTGAGAGGAATCCAACCTGAGTTTCCAAGTACAGGATTCAATAACAGCATGCTTTAACAGTGAGAAGGCAGACCTAGTTTGGAGGGGCAGATCAATGATATTCACCACGTAGGGTTCAGTTAGGTCAAAGGCTTAAATTAACAACAAAATATAATGATTGACCAGGGTTAATATAGACTGGGACATGAACTCCCAGATTAACATCTCAAAAGAATGAAATGCTGTTTCACTCTTTCTTTAATTTCAAGCTTCTGCTGCTGTAGGAAATACCTCTGGCTTTTGTCCAGTAATCTGTTACGTGTTTGAGGATTTTAAATGTGATTCATCTAATGTGTGCATAATACGCTACACAGAGGAGGGGTTTGTGTGTTTACAGGTCAAATTCCCCAGCCAACTCAGCACAGACTGTAGAGCCTATAGAAGCCACATGATAGGCTGGAGCTTCAAGGTTTACCCTTTTACACGTCAGCCCATTCTAAACTGTAACTATCTTGATTTGCAATTCAATACTGTCACATAAACAAAAAAAAAACAATGTGATGTAACCAAAATTGGTTTTTTTGTCCCTTTTAAAGTTTTTTTTTTTTTTTTTTTTTTTTTTTAAGGGGCTTATCACAAGCAAATAACTTAAGTAATTCAGTATGAGCTGAGCAGAAAATGTAATAAAATCCCTCCCAGTAGTGCTGGATGTAGCAAAAAGCAACTCCTCCTAAACCAAAAATAAATACTGCTGAAAAATTATTTGAAATTCATTATCATTTGATAAAATGGCCTCTTTCTTGTCCTCTCTAATAAGAATGTACATTTTTAACAGACTTATTTTTAGCTTCTGTGCATAAATAACTTAAAAATAATAAACATTACAAATTCAAGGCCAACAAAGCAATAAAGATAACTTTGATTTTTTTATTTACTGGTTTAACGCAGATAAGCTTCATTATAGTACCGGTAATTATTAGATTGCTGAAGGTATTCTTTTTAATGCATGTTTTATACGAGCTTTGAAACAGCCAGAAACATAGCTGCAGCTTCTCTGTATATTTTAGATAATCACAGTCCTAGTTTATTGCACAGTCAGTTATTTGTTCACCGTATTGATGTTTCTATCCATCAATTGCATTCAGTAATGCAATCTACAGAAACCTTAGATTTACAAAATAAAATGTCAAAATTAAAATGCCAAGCATAACTGTTTCTGTGCTTTGACAATTAATCAGGGCTTTGACCTTTACTACAACCAGAGTGTTATCTATCTGTTAAGGTAAGAGAACTTCGATTTTCTTAAGAAAGGTCACTCCAAGTGTTTAAAAAAGTGAAAAGGCTTTTATTATAGTAACCTTTTCCTTAACAATGCTGCTTACTCCTCCTTGCAGCAGGAGTGCAAGGGACCATATAAACTCTTGCTGTAAAATAACTGCTCAGCCACTGGCATTTGTTTAACAGTACATAATAACAGAGAAAAGTAATAATAGACACTGCAGACTAAAGTCTGTGATCATTTGAATCCCGAACAACAGAAGGATTACATATTTGGGAGGTGGTGGGTGGATAAATATCATCTTTGGCGATATGAAGAGGAGTTCACGAAGGCGTAATTTACTAACATACAGACTAAAAAGGGACAGGGTGAGGAGTATGAAGAACAAGTACTGCGGTCAAACTGACATGTCAGAAGAAACAAATAAAACAGGCACTGTTGGATAGAAGAACTGGTGCTGCTGCATGAGGCACCACTGAATACATTATTCTCAGTGGGTGTGAGGAATGATTAGATGGGTACATTTGCAAAACGTTTAGAGGCTGCACCTTTCTAGAACTCCAAAAAGTTTAGTAAAAATACTAATGGATTATGGACATAATGGTGTTGTCCCTTTCCTTTTCTTATAAAGCTAAAGCACTTTATAGCTTTTATGTTTAGGAAAATACAGTCATTGTGAAGAAAATAAAGGAGCGCCACCTACAACTCTTATTGAGCTACGAGCTAACCAACCATACAGATATTTAGAAGAGAGCCTTGTTCAGGTACTGTAAACTATATTTCATTACTCAGTCAAGAGTTTGACTTGCACTATATTTTTTTTACTCTAACATGTGTGGCCCATATTTGTCCAAGCACAAAGGGTGGAGAAAGGATTATAACCACATAAAAAAGGTACTGTATGTATGGTAAGCACTATAAACCTGGAGTTACATCAGTAAACTTATTTTTGTAAACACATAAGTATTCCCAAAAACCTTGTGTGCATCTCCTCTTCTACACTTCCAATACATATATGAATATATATATATATATATATATATTTATTTTTTTTTTCTTACACATTTCTATGCAATCTTTGCTTTTCTTGTTGTCAAGTTATCCTCTGAACACCAAAATGTCTTCGGGAAAAATGCTCTCACAAATCTATCTTGTTTCCAACCAAAATGCCATTTCCTCCAATTTCCTGTTTAAGTGTCTATTTCCTGCATAAACTTCCTGACTCGCTGGAGCTTTGTTACAAATCATTTAGAACGCTTCCCGAGGTTATTCTGTTGAAGTTGTCGGCCTCGAAGCTTTCAACTACCAAGAGGTTAAAGCTGTCCGCTTTAATCACCTGTACCTTTTGGGGTAATCGAGGCTGTTGCTCATTTGAGTTGAAACAGTGACATGTGACATTATTAGGATCATGACTCATAAAACGGTTGCTTTCAAATACTTAAACTCAGAAAATTTTCTTTAACTAGCTCTTAATAAGAAGATGTTGTAAAAGCCACAGCCATCCTCTGTGAGAATCTGATAAGCACGTGTCAGCAGCATATCTCTTAATCATTCAACCACAAACACACAGCAAGTTATTTCTCAATGCCGTTGTCAACACCCCAGAAGACAAAATTGATAACGCCAAGTCAGAAAACATCCTCATCAGTAGAGAGAGTTGGACAGACATCTATTAAAACCCCATCGATGGTTGCTGCAACAAAAAATGAAAAGCAGCTTTATTAGGTACACCTGCAACCTCATCAATTGGGAGAAAATTTCAGTCCGTACAGATTTTCTCCTTGAGTCTACATTGGCAGTATTGTGGATCTACCTTTCTTATACCTCAACCAAAATAGTTAGGTGATCATTAGCTATTTTCTGTATTTGTGCTGCTATAATTTTGGGCCGCTG